AGCCTTCCTTATCTTGGTCTCTGTAGACCCCTCGCCTACCAAGGAACTACATCCACTGAAGCAGAGGCCAACTCCTGAGCTAGGACAAAGGAACACGCAGATGAGCCTAGAACATCTTGTGCCAGCAAGTCAGCGATGCTCCCAGAATGACTGGGAGTGTGCCAGAGATATACAGACGCCAACCTGGACCAGTTCCCACTGTCGCCTCAGACAATGTGAGCACCGAGGTAAATAATGGTTGTAGCAGATTAAAACAGGAAACATAACCCATGCTGGGTGGGAAGACAGAAAGAAGTGGGGAGAGGAGTGAGGGAGAGAGGAGAGGGGGAGGGAGAGGAGAAATCAATATTTACCTTATCTCAAAGCCCTCCTTAAATTAAACCCAGGTTCCCCAATAATCGAGTAGTTAAACTCCAACATCCCCAGTCAACAGGCAAGGCTGAGCCTTGGGCCACCTGCTGTGATAGCAGGTGCACAGCCTGAGTCTAATCCTGAGGCATCAGGCAAACCCAAATCCAGGGAGCCTGCACCCTGGCCTAGAGACCAATGAAAGAAGGTCTGAAAGAGGCTTAGGGCAGAGAGATGCAGCTGAAGATCCCAGGTCACCTCTGCTGGAAAGGACTTAACAAGGACACCTGGGTGGCTTGCCTGTAGTCACTGCCTCTGATACAGACAGCTGTGCTGTAGTGACAGAGTGCACATTTGTTGGAATGCACTGGACGTTAGGGGCATAGAGTACCCTCAGAGGTCCACAAGGAAGTGGTCTGAACTACGCAATGGCCAAGAGTCAGAGCCATTCTCAGAAGGGAAAAGTGCCGGGCTTAAGGCTGGAAAGATGGCTCACTGGTTAAGCCACACTTGCTGTTTTTCCAGAGGACCCGAGTGGTTCCCAGCACCCACATCAGGCAGCTCATAATTGGCTGTATGTAACTCCAGCTCCAAGGGACTGAATACTCTCTTTTGATCTCCAGGACATCTGTACTCTTGCACACACACACACACACATACACACACACACAAACACACAAATCCATGAATAAATCTTTTTTAGTCTGCCTGGCTTCCTTGAGAATCAGCTTTCCCTTCTCTTCTTCCCCAAACCCCTGTCTTGAGTCTCACCCTCTCCAACAGAATCTCCACTCATACACTCAAGGAACTGGGTACCCGTCCAACGGCTTCTTTCTCAATCAGAAAACATTTCATCCATACCCACTGGCTGCCCTGGCTTGCCGAGACTTCATGGGAACACCGGCCAGCTGCTCCCCTCCTGCTCCTCCCACCCCTGTGACATGGAGCCAGGCAGAGGAATTACTCCTTGAAGAAAAGTAAAAGGGAAGAACGTCGCTCTGCCCGGGAGGCCAGGCTGAAGGGAGTCAGCAAGGATGCAGCCCTGCCTGGAGAGACTTACATCCTTGAGGACCAAAGACCACACTCGGTGGCAACACCCTTCATGATACAAATCCCCAGGACCTGAGTCCAGGTGAGCAGGCGGCAAGGGGTTTTCGTGGGAAGACAGAGTGTGGAAAGTACAACACTAGAGACATACACCTGAGCAGAGTTAGCCCAGAACAAGACTCAGGACAGGAAAGGGCAGTCAAGGAAGAGTCCTGGAAGAGGAAGAGGCCCCTAAACCAGCTGAGGAAAAGAACCAGGCTGGAGCTGGGCAGTGGTGGGTGGCACATGTTTTTAATCCCACTTGGCAGGCAGAGGAGGCAAATCTCTGAGTTCTAGGTCAACCTGATCTACAGAGCAAATTCCAGGACAGCCATGGCTACACAGAGAAACCCTGTCTCAAACAAACAAACAAAAAGAACCAGAACCAGACTGGAAGGAGGTGAGTAAGTAAACTTGTGACAGGCACAAAAGGAAAAACACAGGCAAGAGACAAACAGTTCCAGGTGGGAGGGTCAGGGGAAAGGGGGAGCATGGAGGACATGGAGGTCCCTTGGAGGTACGCCCTGGTAGCCAAGGTGTTCAGAGATCTATGCTGGGTCCCTGCAGCAGACAGACCATCCATGTCCTAAAGGGAGAAGGCCATCAGAGCGCTACGAACATGTCAGAGGTAGGTGAAAGAGGCCCCTCTTTAAGAGGCCTCCCCAGAGTAAACATGTGGATTGTCACAGTTGACACAGGCACCCTGGGGAACTCACACTGTGGCCACTTTGACTCCACTAGGTCCCTTCCAGGGATCAATAACTAGTGACCATACCTAATTAGCTTAATTAAGCCCGAAGTGGCTTCCAGGCATTGGAGTAAAACAAAGTACATCCTGTTCACCCAAGAGGACACAACAAAGCAGGCAGGCAGTGACACACAAAAGATGCTTAATAAATGCCTATTGCCAAGCCTGCGTGATGGTATATTCCCTTCATCTCAGCACTTGGGAGGTAGAGGCAGGCGGGTGTCTGGAAGTTCCAGGTCATTCTAATCTACCAGTCCATGTTACGGTCAGACCCTGTCTCAAAATAAATAAATAAATAAATAAATAAATAAATAAAGCCATTATGCTCCCCTAGATCCACCAGTCCAGCTGAGATAAACTCAAAGTGAGATGGGAACTCTGAGTCTTAAAGATTTACCAGGAAGCCATGTGGCCTTCAAGGAACGGGGGACATCAGAGACCGATGACCTGGACAAGTTCTGGGACATGACAAGCAGAGAGAAAGGAAATGCACGCTCAGGCCTTGCCAAATGGGCCAGCTGGCTCCCCCATAGAGGATCCAGATGTCCAGGGAAACCAGGCATGCTCCTACTATCACCCCAGAGAGCCCACAGGTCCCAGAGAAAGCCCAGAGAAGCCAGCGAGGCTGCAGGTCAGCTGGGGGAAGTCTTGAAATCACCCTTTCTTTAGGAAGATATGCGTACACAAGCTAGTTAGTTATGTCGCGTACCATCTGGGTGACCTGGGCACATCTGTGGACCTCTCTGAACTTTCACTATTATCTACAGATCAGAGGTGGTACACCACTCTACAGATTGTGTCTAGACCAAGGCAGCGCCAGAAAGGGCAGCTGTGATTCCTTCTGTGCTCCAGCAACCACAAACCGAGATAACATCTTCTTCCCCGCAAATCAGAAATGTGAGCTTCCCTGTAGCAAAGAGCAAGCACCCAGAGAGAAGTCTCGCCCCAGCCCCTGCACAGCCAGCCCTGGCAACGACTGTTGTTTCTTTCCTTATGAATATACACACAGGGCCATGAAGCTAAACTTGGCCAGATACCGTGAAGGTTCAGAGAGCACCTGCAATGTGGAGACCGTGGGACAGACCAGCCTACACAAAATGGCAAGCGAGAAGACAAGACCAACCTTCTGAGCTGGTATCTAGTAGCCAACAATTGATGGCGACTAGAAATTTCCAACACAGGGACTGTGTACCCTGAGGCCTGCACCAGCCAGCACCCTTCATCCCATCCAGCCCAAATCACAGGAACCAGCCACTCCCCAATCAGGCACAGCCCCTCCCAATCTCCCTGCCAATCAGCCTCACTCTCTTAACCCCACCCCCACCCCCGGTCAGGCTCGAGCCCACAGACCGGTGCAGAACCTGTCAGAAGCAAGCCAGCCTTAGCCTCCAGCAGTTCAGGGTCAGCCCAAGATCCAGCTGTGCGCAGGAGGAGAGGGGAGTCAAGATCCAGCTGTGTGCAGGGGTTGCCCCCTCCCTTTCCTTTCTCGAGTCGTGAAAGAGGTTAAGAACTCCGCAGCCTCCCCGTCCCAACGTGGAGGGTGGAGGAACGACACACACGTCGAGATCTCTTAAAGACCTCTCACCCTTGGAGCGTGCCACTTGGGCACACTGTCACGCTGACCTTTCGGGACTCTAGCTGCAACCGTCCTTGGCTCTCTGGGCTGCTGGGGTATTACTAATAGTAGAAGAACCACCCCCTCTCTTTCCCTTCTGGGGCTCTCCTTTGTCAAACGGGAAATAGCTGGCCCCATCTCTTTGGAAAGGCAGGCACAGCCAAAGGGCAGAGGCTTTAGGGGGGAGGGGTGGAACCCGCCAGAATATTGGGATCAGTGACTCTCACAGACTCCCGCCCCGCCCCCAGACACCGCGGTTCCCGAAGTCCGGGTAGAAAATACCCGGCGTCCACTTGGAGTTGCGAAGTGGGCGGGTCGCACCTGGACAGCACTGGCTGAACCAGAGCTGCCTTGCTCTTCCCTCCGCCTGCCAGGATCCCTTTAAAGAGCGATCGGGCGGGGGATCCGGGACCCCCGGAAGGCAGGCCACATGCCTCGAATCTCCTTAACTCTGGGCCAAGTTCCTTTCAAGGAGCCAAGAAAAGCAGCTCCAGTCAGCGGAGTGGACGTGTTCCTGCCCTGCCCTGCCCTGCCCTGCGGCCACACGCGTGTCTCGGCCTCCACAAAGGCCACACTAGAGCGACGGCCGAAGTGGGGGGCGGTGAGGAGACGAAGGGGACTCCCTCCCAGAGGCCCTCCATGAAGGCCCCGAGGCAGTTCGCTCCGGGCTGGGGTCCCGGAGGAGGCGCAGGCCAGAGAGAGGGCGGCGCCCGGCCCTCCCGCTCCCTTCGGCCCGCGCACCCCGCCCGGCCCGGCCCCTTCGCCGCGCCCTGGGGCCAGCTCAGCCACCGCTCCAGCTCATCCTCCATTGGCTCCAGCCGCTAGGCGCGCAGCCCGAGGACGCGGCCCCAGCGTGGCATGCACCGGGTTCGAAGGGACACTCGGGGACCCGGGCCTGAGAGCGAGACTGCAGTGCTGGGCGCCACGCCGAGACTGGAATCGTTCTCCACGAGGCAGAGCAGACCCGGGAGCCGGCGCACACTAACGGTCCCCGTGGCGGTAGTGGCGTGCCCTGGGCTTGGGGGACTTTGGCCAACTTCGCGCCTTCGCCGCTCGCTAGAGCGGGAAGCGGAGACAGGGACAAGCCCCCCTCTGCACTGGCCCTTGAACCAGTCGCTCGGACCAGGTCGCCAGGGCCTCCCGCGGTCGCCACCTCGGCGCTCCAGTCAGCTTGCCCCGCAGCTCACACGCCCGGACCCTCACCTGGGACATCTGCGGCCGGAAATTGATGTCCTTCAGATCGATGGAGCCGGGGGAGAGGTTGTGCAGCAGCTGGCACAGCAGGACGCCGTCGCGCAGCGCCTGCGCCAGGTCGAAGACCACCGCCGAGGGCCACACGACACGGTGGTTGGGCGGGAGGACCTTGCAGTCGATGAGCCAGCGGCCGCATTGCCGCCACTGCTCCATGGCGCCCGCGGCGCCCGTGCGCTCGCCGCCGCGGCCGCTGGACCAGCTCTCTCAGGGCAGCGCTAAGGCTAAAGTGCGGTGACCGCGGGGCATCCCGCCCGCCCGCGCGGGGCTAGGCGGCCGGGGCGGGGCTTCGCGCAGGCCGCCCCGGGTCCCCGCTGCGCGGCCGCGCGGCCCTCCTCTTCCTCCTCCTCCTCGGGCTACTAGCGGGCAGTCGCTCCCGCCCACGTGCGGCCACCAGGCGCTCGCGGGGCAGCGCGCCGGGTACCCCCTTCACACACACAAGTCCGCTTGGGCTCCGGTCCGGGCTCCACGCCTCCTGCTGCAGCAGCGCTCCTCGATCCGCCCCTCCGGGCGCCGCATTCTGTGCTCGGGCTGCCCCACACCGGCCACCGCTCCTGCCCCGCCCGAGACAAAGGCGCAGCGGGTCGCTCGCTCCGTGCGTCCGGCGCCTGGGCTGCCGGCGCCGCCGTCGCTTTGTTCGCCCGGCCCGCGGGCTCTGCGATCCTCGCGGGGCGCTGGGACTCTAAGGCTCAGCAGCTCCTGGGCGCTGGGGATGCAGGGGGCGCGGCCACGGCCGGGCGGGGCCGGGGGCGGAACTGGCATCCTCGCCGGCACCTCCCACGCGACCCAAGCACCGCCTCCAACCCGCCCTCCCACTTCCTGCCCCGGGGCCGCCAGCGAAAGTTGGGGAGGGCGGGGCTGTAGCGCAGGCTCTGGGCTGGCGACTTTCCGTTAGGTGCACGTGGACCCAGGCCGGCAGTCTCTCCTGTAGAGTGATGAGGTTTCTGCACCTCGTTAGAAACTAAAAGGTGACCCCTGTAGCGCGCCGCCCTTGCATGGACCTCTGCAAAGACAGACCCGGGAACGCGCAACCAGCTGGGCTACACAATCACGCCCCTATGGCCCCATCAATCTGGTTAATGAGCTCAGGGCTTCCAGAGTACGCTTCCAGTCTAATGTCCTTGTCGGGATCCGCAGGACATCCCCTCTCCCGAAGAGGGAAAGAGGGGAAAAAAATCCTTCACTTGCGGTCACAAGCAGCCCCCTCCCTAGATTCCCTGGTGAGAGGTGCTGGTAGGATCGACAGTGTGGTGTCCTGAGGACATCGCGACAGTGGGAGGGACTTCAAAGCATCAATAACTGATTTTGCAATTGGAATTACTTTGCTGCGGACTCATCTATCAGGACCCGTGAGTTCTTGGTAAAGAGAACACCACAAAGTCCAGCCTTCTCGGAAACTGGTGTCCTGGAAGGGAGCTGGGAGAAAGGAGTGCCCAGCCCACCAGAGCCTCCTGATTTGATCTGTGGGCTGGTCATCCTTATGTCAGTCGCTGCGTCTCCCTCCGTTTACCTAGCCCAGGGCAGGATGGCAGATCCCGCCTCGATGCACACACCAAGCCTGTCACCTGCATCCAGGAGCGTCGTCCCTGGAATGGCCTCTGCAGGAAGTCAGTTCATCCCTTCCCCACCTAAAGAGGAAGCCAGAGTCAGGTTGAATAAGTGGCTAGCTCCTGCCTAGGTACCACTTCATCTCTGAATAGCCTCAGAGAAAGGACCTGCTGCAGGGAGGTAGGGGGAGGATTAAATCACCCAAAGCACAGGGCCACAGGCAGACCCTCCAGGATCTCCCTAAAAGTCTTTCAGTACCCTGCAACACAGGCGGGGGTGGGCGGTTGAAAGCAGAGCACCTCGCTAATCCTGCTCCCTTCGTGCCTGGGCGTCTGTACCCAGGGAGCTCCTTTACAGGAAAGAGATCTTTACCCTCCCTGACCTCAACCTTCCCGGCTCATCAGGAAACTCACCACGACCAGACTAGGTCTGGGACAGACTACTCTGACAGTCAGGCAGACGTTCATCTGCTGCCCCCTGGTGGTCATAAGAGCAGTAGCAGCTGACCGTCCATAGGCTCCCGGAAAGCGGGCTGCCTTTGAGGGGCTATAGTGCAGAGCCTTAGCCTGTCGGTCTTGCAAGTAAAGAGATCTAGGCCTCCTGGCACAAGGGGTCCTGCACCAATCGTCTGCCTCTATGGTACCCAATTCCTTGTCTGGATATTGGGGGTGTTCACTTGTCCTGTGTATTTGATGGAGACCTTGGGAAGCTCTAAAGGGAAATAAGAGAAGGGATCAATGACGGAAAGCTGGGTGGAAAGTGTTCCAGATGTCTGTTGTGCTGTGTAGGTCAGACTGCATGGGCTCAAAACAACTTGCAGAGTGCTGATAAAGGGGATACTTTTCCTCCGTGTTCTACCTCACCCACTATCCCAGCCCCAGGACTGTTTGCCAGGACTCTCCTTTGAACATGTCCCGGAAACAAGAGTACCTCCCCCACTTTGGAGACGAGCTCTGCGAAAGCCACTTCTGCTGAGTTCCAGTGACCAGTTCTAAGGTGAACTCAGCAGATGAAACCCTGAGGGGCTACCAACCCTAGCCACATACCCAGGGTGTAGAAGGAGGGCCATGGACTGATCATGCAAGAGGTTGCAGAGAGGCGCCTAGAAGGGTGCAGCAAGGCTTCTGGAAGTTGACCGTCCCTGAAAAGCATGCTTTTGGAGGCTGGGGGCTGACAGGAAGGCACAGGTGCAGGAAGCTAAGGCCAGGAGCAACAGCGCCTGGGCCCAGAGTCCCTTCTAAATCACAAGGGAACAGAGCATCTCTTGTACTCCCAGGCATTGGCTGGTCAACGGCAGCAGCATCTCTGATGGACTCTGGTGTGAATTTCTGCACATCCTACCTGCCTGCAAGTTCAAGAACCCACATTAAGCCGGGCGATGGTGGCGTAAGCCTTTAATCCCAGCACTCGGGAGGCAGAGGCAGGCGGATCTCTGTGAGTTCGAGACCAGCCTGGTCTACAGAGCTAGTGCCAGGACAGGCTCCAAAGCCACAGAGAAACCCTGTCTCAAAAAACCATAAAAAAAAAAAAAAAAAAAAAAGAACCCACATTCAGATTCTGAGCACGCCTAGCTCCGCCACCAGAGTTCACGTTCCTCCTTGAGTTCTTCAACAGCCTGCTTCTGCCTTGCCCTTCAGTCTGCTCTTCATAGCCAGCAAAGATCTAGCTAAACCTAGATGCAACCCTGTCACTCTGCTACCTTAAAGCCATTTGTGGAACTCAGTTCCTAGCAGGTAACTCAGACCTGCGGCTCTTTGAAAGAACACCGTTTGGCATGAATGAGGCCCCAGGCTTCATAGCCAGCCCTTAAAGAAGTGGTTCTCAACCTGTGGGTCATGATGCCTTTGGGGGAAGTGTCAAATGACCCTTTTACAAGGGTCTCCTAAGACCATGAGAAAACACAGATATTTACATTACAATTCATAACAGCAAAATTAGTTATGTAGTAGCAACAAAAATAATTTTATGGCTGGAGTCACCACAACATGGGGAACTGTATTAAAGAGTAGTAGCATTAGGAAGGTTGGGAACCACTGTTTAAAAGGAAATGAAAACAAGGGAAAAAATGACAGATTCTCCCCCAAGTAAACCCCCTTTGGCACAGCTTCCTTCCCTGACTGCATCTTCTATGTCCCTCCTAGTTCTTTTTACTTGCAGTTTCTCTGCCTAGAATCCTTCCATCAGAGAGGGACATGACCAAGGTTCTAACTGACAGAGGAGGGATTTGAACCAGGATCTCAACGTGGAGTCTGTTTTCTACAGTGCTCCCAACAGAGTTGTTCGCATTTACTTTCTAGGCATATAGGTGTCAACAAAAGAGAAATCATGGAACTCGATCTGTCTCTGCCCTCCCAGGCTTCTGCAGAGAGTGCCCCCCGCCCCCATACAGTCTGAGACATCGCTCACTGGGCAGTCGCAGGGCTGGTGTTCATCCAGACCACAAGTGCCTCTAAGCATCCAGTGCTCTGGATGGCAGCTGCCTCGGTGGAAGCTTCTACAGACACTGGAACATCCAAGAAACTGAGGACCAAGCTGGGCAGTGGTGGCGCACACCTTTAATTCCAGCACTCAGGAGGCAGAGGCAGGTGGATCTCTATGAGTTTGAGGCCAGATTGGTCTACAGAGCAAGTTCCAGGACTGGCTTCATAGCTACTGAGAAACCACGTCTTGAAAAGAAAAAAAGAAAAAAGAAAAAAGAAAAAAAGAAAAACTGAGGACCCCCACAGCCAGACCGGCCATTTTGATTATCAGTCCCTGCTTCCCCAACACATTGCACGGTCTCTATATTTTCATCAGAAAGACTACCTTCAGCTGGAAGGTGATGGCACGCACATGCCTTTAATCCAGCACTTGGGAGTTCGAGGCCAGCCTAGTTTACAAAGCAAGAGCCAAGATTGGAGAAACCCTGGGGGGGGGGGTGGCTCTTCCTTACAAGGACATCAAAGGGCTTTTCCTAACAAAGACAACCAAGTCTCTCTCATTCAAAGGAATACCAGCACTGGCCTCCTGTTTCTCTACCACCCAGCCTTCCATTCGCTTCCCACCAGCCCTGAACCTCTTTTTTTTTTAATAATTTATTTATTATGTATACAGTGTATGCCTGCAGGCCAGAAGAGGGCGCCAGATCTCATTACAGGTGGTGGTGAGTCAACATGTGGTTGCTGGGAATTGAACTCAGAACCTCTGGAAGAGCAGTCAGTACTCTTAACCATTGAGCCATCTCTCCAGCACCCCTGAACCTCTTTTTACATCTCCTTACTGGTCCTTGAATTCATCTACCCCGCCCTCTGTCCAGTCACCCTTTAATCCACTTAGCCCTTCCCTTCCTCCACTTGGCCCTCCCATGTTCATCTGCCCATCACTTTTAGAAGGCTGAAGCCAGCCTCCCAACTGTCCATCATTATCAGCCCCACTCTATCCACCCACCTATACCTGCATCTACCCACCCATCCCACCCATACCCCTCCAACGAGACAATACTGACTGAGTACCGGCTTTGTTCCTAGAGAAAGGGAAATGAATGTTTTGACCGGGTGAGAGATTTATTCTCGCTCCAACCCACAGGAACACACATTTCGCAAATTCCATTTGGAGCTCCATCAGGCGAATTCAGCTGTCACAATTTCCCAGGAAATTATAGGTGTAGGAAAAGACCATCTGGCCAGCCATGGCGACGGAGCACGGAGCACGCCTTGCTGGATGGTGGGTGTGGGCCCTCTGCATTTCCTTTGAAAAGGCAAAATGTAGGCTATTACTGTTAGTTGCTTCAACTTCAAAATTAAGCCAAACGCCACGGTCTAGAGACTGAGCCCAACACTAGATCTCGGAAATCTTGCTGTAACACAGCCAAAGCTTGGGCACCTGCCAGTGACTATGCAAAACATAAAGACAGTCCCTTCCCTCCCCCACCTCAACCCCACCCCCGCCCAGGTCTGTCTTGAGGCTGCAGCAGCATCTGGGAAGACCCTGTGTTCAGGGCAGGTGAGCACAGCCTTCAGAGAGTACAGAGTCCAGGACATAGGTCAGCTGTCCATATGAGACTGAGAGGCAGCACTGGGGGAGGGGACTCTGCTTTTCCAAAGCCCTCATCACAGAGCCACAAGCCACTTGGATGCTA